ATTTTGGCGAGTTTGGGGAGGTGAGTGACCTTTCAGCTATCCTGAGGTTGACACCTTCTGGTCCTTGGCAGGCCTGGCAGGTTGGAGCCTTCAGTAAGGTTTCATTTTTACCCTCTCAGATTGTTCTGGGTTTTTTCCCTCTGTGGGTTCCTTATAAGCCCTGGGTTGGGGTGGGCGCTCGTCCTGAGCTTTTCCTGTGTTTACAGATTGAGGCCATTGAGCTTCCAATGGATCCTAAGTCAAATAAGAGACGGGGCTTTGTCTTCATCACCTTTAAAGAAGAGGAACCTGTGAAAAAAGTTCTGGAGAAAAAGTTCCATACCATTAGTGGAAGCAAGGTAATGACCTTGGCTGTGGTGCCTGGCCTGCTGTTGGAGAGCTGGCCCTTAAGGTGGTGTGGGTTTGGGGTGGTGAGGCTGCCTGCAGGAGCTTTCCAGCAATAGAGATTGTTCTGATTAGGGGAAATGGCCCTCTTTTCAGGGACTCTTTGCTTGGTGTTAGGAGTGACAATAAATACAGATGTGAGACAGGAGAGGAAGAGTAGCTTTTGATTTAGAGCATGTTTAGTAGGCTGAGTTCTCATTTGAAGCTGGAGAGGCCACAGTGTATAAGGCCTGTAGTTAAGATCTCAGGGGATTCTAGAACTTCTGTCATTCATTGATTTCTGTATTTAAGTCTTCCCTTATGTGGAACATTGTTGAATCTTTCCTTAAACAACTTCATACACATTTGTAACCCTCACCCAGGCAGAGATCCTAATAAAGAGCTCCCAGTGCCCTGGGAAGCTTAAATCCAACCAAGGCTGGTTTTTCATACAGCAAGGGGTGGTAGCTCCTTTCAGAACTGCTCTGGAGAGAAGGTAGTTCTTAAAAGATCTCCAGGTGGCCAGGAGGCAGTTGGGAGTTGAGGGTGGGGTCACTGCAGGGTGTGGCAGCCCCTGCCTGAGCAGGAGTGGCTGGCAGATAAAGTGTATAAAGGTAGGGTGAGGCTTCTGGAAGCCTCAGTCCTGTTGAGAATTAAGATCTGGATGCAGTGTTGGATCCTAAAATTTTGGGGGGTGAGATGAGTTGGTGACCTATTACTGCTTAGTTGTATACTTTCTATGCCATGATATGAAAGGGGCATAACTACATGGGGTAGTTTTAATCTGCTGGTAGTACATCTTACAGTTTGTCTGTTTAGTTATAGTTAGCATTTTAATTTAACAAGACAGAAAATTGTATCACTTTGCTAATTTGCAAGTAAGCCAGCATGTTTTACTATTGGTCTTAATGGGGGTGGGGGGGATGTGTTGAGGACTTGGCTTTGAAAATACATTTCTGGTTTATAGAAGCAGGGACTCAGAAAAGGTTGCTTAGATTTTTGAGCAAAAAATACTCTGGATGTTGAGGAGATAGAGCTGGCCCATTCCAACACTAGGTCAGTGTTGGAAGAAGAGTGTGGGTAGTGGCATGGCCTCAGGCAAGCCCTGCTCTGAGTCTTGGGCTATCTTGTCTTGATGGAGGTCTGGATCAGCAGGGGTGATTTACTGAGTGGTGGGATCTTTCATTTCTTCTGTAAAAGAAAAAAAAAAGCATCCTTATCCCCTAGACCTTTCATCCAGAAAACCATCTGATTCCCTTGTTCAGTGAGACGAAGGTGGTATCAGATTTGCCACCTGGTACAGTCTAGTATACTAGACGGGCATTGATCCAGCCATCCGTTTCCCAATTGACATGCTACTTACTCCACAGCAGCTAGGTTTCAGTTTTGCTAAGAATTGCTAGCCTGATGTGAGTTTTCATCCCAGCACATTTTGGTTTTGAGGAGACAGACCAGATCTGCCATCTAAACGTTAATGAGTGTGCGTGGTCCCTGACCCAACTGTCCTCTCGACTTCCAGTGTGAAATCAAGGTGGCCCAGCCCAAAGAGGTTTATCAGCAGCAGCAGTATGGCTCTGGGGGTCGTGGGAACCGCAACCGAGGGAACCGTGGAAGTGGTGGTGGCGGTGGAAGTGGAGGTGAGTGGAACCCAAATGAAGATGGGTCCTGTTGCCCTGCCTGCATGGAGCTTCTGTGCCTGTCTTGGGGGCTTTTCTGGCCCCTGATGCTTGAATGTAGCAGGTGGGCAGGAGCCAGAATGGTTCTCCTGGGCTGTGGTGCTGCTGCTGCTGCTGCTGCTGCTGCTGCTTGGAATGGAAGAGCAAGTCTGTGATGGGGCTTGGGGCCCTGGGGCGGAGGGGTCCTTTGTGTGCTATATAATAAGCTCAAGATTGGGAGTTGAAACAGGTTGTGCTTGGCTCTGGTAGTCCAGAGTCTTGGTACACCCGTGGGTGGGGTGGGCAGAAGGTAGGACAGGGCTGTGCCAGGCGCTTTACCTCCTTTGGTCCCAGGCCCCTCTGACTCCAAAGCCTGAACTCCATCCTTTTCAAGGCCAAGCTGCCAGGGAAGGGGGTGGTGGTGATCAGGGTGAATCCAGTGAATAAGCTGCTGCCTCATCGGTCTGGAGCAAAGTTAGTATTCTGTCTGACCTCTGATCCCTTGCTTGGGTCTCAGGTACAGAACTGGACCCAGGCCGTCTACACTAGGATAGCAATTCCTTGAGTTCTGCCTCAGTTGCCATAGTAACCCCGCCACCCAAAGGGCAGGATTTCCTCCATCCTAGCTCCTGCAAATGCTAAATGGTCCATGGGCCCCTGTGCCCTGCTCCCCCCACAGGTCAGAGTCAGAGTTGGAATCAGGGCTACGGCAACTACTGGAACCAGGGCTACGGCTACCAGCAGGGCTACGGGCCCGGCTATGGCGGCTACGACTACTCGCCCTATGGCTATTACGGCTACGGCCCCGGCTACGACTACAGTAAGTAGGAGAGAGGGAGGCCCCATCCGCCCATCCACCTGGGAGGCAGGACAGACAGCGCAGGAGCCATTGGCAGCAGGGGCTTTGGAGTCGGAAAGGCTGGGCTTTGTGGCCTGGCATGGTCACTGGAGCTATGGAATTTTTGAGCTTGTGAGCTTGCGGGAATCAGAAGGTGGGGAAAGTATCCTGGCTCCAAAGAGGATGCATGTCAAGCGCCTGGCACAGGGGTAAATGCTCAGTAAGTTGTAGCTATTATCATTATTGTTCTTGTCCCTAGGTCAGGGTAGTACAAATTACGGGAAGAGCCAGCGACGTGGTGGCCACCAGAATAACTACAAGCCATACTGAGGCTTCTTCAGGAGTGCCCAGCTGACCGCACACGCTTTGTTTGGATATCAAGTGAACACAAACAATTATGTACCAAATTTAACTTGGCAAACTTTCTATGGCCTGTCCCATGTGCATCTTATTTAAAATTTTCCCCCTGGAAATCACTCTCCTGTTTACTATTTCCAGAGCTCTAGTTGTTTTAGGCAGCGTGTGGGTCTCAGGCCAGAGCGGCAGTATGGGCTGATTTTAATACCAGGTTACCCAGAACCAGATTGGAGGGTCTGCTTTTCCGCTGCCGCTCTGCAGCCTGGACCTGTGGACCCTGGTTGTAAAGAGTAAAACTGTATCTTAGGAAACCAGTGTCACCTTTTTTTCACCATTTAATTTTATATTATTTGTGTCATACATTTCCTGTAATGGAAGTGTTAATTTTACTGTACTTTTTGGTACCTTTTGGGAATCTAATGTATTGTAAGGTATTTTACACGTGTCCTGATTTTGCCACAACCTGGATATTGAAGCTATCCAAGCTTTTGAAATAAAAATTTAAAAACCCCCAAACCTGGGTGAGTGTGGGGTATGCTGTGAATAGGGGGTGTTAGGTGCTCCAGGGCGTGCTGGGGCCTCCTCCCACATCAAGCTTATTCACCTGCTTGGCCTGGTCTGGGCTGAACTGAGGCTACTGATCTTTTTGGAAAGCCTAGTACCTTCCATGACCGAGGTGACTACCCTACCCAGGACTTCCAATTTTTTTTAGATAAAATGCTGGAGCATTCAGGCAGTTATGTGGGAAGTGAACTGAGGCTTACTGTCCCCAGGGCAGGGTGAATATTGGGTGTCTGGGAAAATTTAATTGGGAAATGAGATTGGGCCATACAGAGGAGCCAATCAGACTTGGTGTGGCCGTGCTCTTCTTCCAGGGTCCATTTGCAAGTATTTCTGATGAAGTAGACACACAACCCAAGGTAGCCAGAGCCAGTATTGAGCAAACTGGCTGAGGAGTAAAGGGAGCCACTGTTAATGGCTAGCCTCTCAGAGCAAGAGGCAAGGGCCCCACTCACCTAAAGGGCCAGGGCTGCCTCCTGGCTCTAGTCTTAGTGTCTCACAACTTTTCACCTTTTCTTCCATGTCTGAAAAAGATAATTTATATTTCAACCATAATTACATTTCAACCGTTCACCTCTGCCAAGGATCTCAAGTCCTTTCCTCCCCTAAGCTCACTGAATATTCATCCCTTTACCCAAGCAGGTCTTGTGACAACTCAAATTGTACTTAGAAACTTAGAAGCCCCCTCTTACCTCCAGTGGGCTGGGATGATGGTGAAGAGAGTGTGTGTGTGTGTGTACACGTGCGCGCGTGCGTGTGTGTATAGAGGGTGCTTCTGTGAGTTCTACCGTGAAAGGGGTTTGGCCTATTTTGGGTCTCCATTGAGCAGCATGCTCATGCAAAGTGGCCTTGGTGCACAGGCAAGTTGAATTGGGTTGACCTACCTTCCTAGAGGAAGGATTGGGAATATGACGAGCACTCATTTAGCATGTTAACAGTCTGGCTGCAAAACTCCTAGTAGCTAAAGATAGCACAGCATGAGAATCCAGCCAGCATCTCAAGGTAGCTTTAAGAATACACTGGGATCTGCACACTCCCATTGCAGTTGGGACTTGGCTTTTCCAGGCACAGGCAAGAATTAGAAAAAGGGCCCAGGCAGGAGGACCTTGGATTTGTTGCTCCCTGTGCTGTCCAGCACATACTTGGGGTGGGCTCCAGAGACAGGTAAACCACTCACCTGTCAGGACGTTATCCAGCTTTGCCACAACTTGTCGTGCATTGTCCAAGCTGAAGCACATTGGGGGCTTAAACTTGAGCACATTCCTCCCGGGGCCGTCAGTGCTCAACAAAATAAAGTTCTCCTTCAGCCTGTAAGTACCATGAAGGACCCTTCACCATGACGTCATGGGTTCGAATTTCGGCCACACTGCCCTTAAAGACTTCATAGTCCAGTTTGGACCAGAATACACCACATACACCCATTTTCATGCCCATCTTGAGGCCCCAGCCTGAGGTACCTGGTGTTAAGCCCCTGAGGAGGGGCCTTGCTGCATCTGTCCCTGGAGCCACAAGGGGCTGCCAGTGCAGATGGTCAGGGTTTCTGCTTCTACCACTTAATTCTGCTTTGTGGGACACTGGTTTGCTCTGGTTGGAAGATGCCTACCATCTTAACATGCAGAGCAGTAACTTTCCTGCCAACCTGTACCCTGCCACCCCTCCAGCCTCCAAGGTCATCTTGTCAGGATTAACTGGTGTGAATTTCAGCTTGTTTTGGGGAACGCTATCCTCACAGTTCTTGATCATTGGCAGTGTGAAGTTCTTTTAGCCCCTGAGAGGGGCTGATTAGATTACACTGACCATACATACCTCCTTGTCAGGAAAGGGGCGGTGGTGCTTTCCTTGTGTTCCCTTTCTCCCTGGCTGTGACCACTGCTAGAACAAAGTCTGGACTTCACATCCAGCCCTGCCATTATCTAGCAGTGACTAGGTGGAACATCCCCAAACAAGGTTCATTGAGGGGTTATGAGGCTGGTGGTAGTGGTGGAGGGGGTGTTGCGGTGAGGGGGACTCTAACTCCTTAGTGGCTCACTGAGCCCCTGCCCCTGATTTGCAAGCTCTTGGGGGAGAGGGTGAGTTGGTGGCTGTGCCAGACAGGGCCACTTATGGGTTACTCTGAATCAGCATGTTGGCTTTTATACCAATTCAAGACAGCCCACTTTATAATCTGAGCAAGAATATACACGTTAGAAGTATGGGGAGGGGAAATACAGGAGTTAGGAAAGAAGACAAAAAGAAGGGGAAGGCCTCAAGGTATGGGTCCTGCAAAGTGAAAAGAAACTGGATGGGGGCTGGGGTTTCTGGGTCCTGACCACCCCTAAAAGTCATTGTTCTGGGGATACATGTAGGCCCCAGTGTGGCTCCTGAGAAGTGCTCTCAGACAGCCTGGGTCTGATTGGTGCTCCTCGAAGCCAAGAGCTTTGGCATCCAGGCCTGGTGGGTCATTTTCTCCATGTGCAGAGAGAGGCTCTTCCCACTCCCCCCACCTGTCTGCTCTGATGACCACTTCCTTTGGGTGCAATCCCTGGTGAGAGTGACAGGAGAGGTACTGTAAAGATGTTTGAAAAAACAAAATACCTGGATACCAAGTAGGCAGCCTCTTCAGTTGCTGGTGTCCTCATAGCCTTGTCTTTAATCAGATCCACACCAATGAAGAGCCCAACGCCCCTGGAGCAGAAGGTGGCATCTCAGGCCAGGCCTGAGGGCCATGGTCCTTGGTCTCAGCCAAGCACCTGTTGAAACGTCCACTGGGAATTGTTACCTCTGCCTCTAGGGGAGGCTGAGAGCAGTTGGGACCCTTCGAGGGTGGGAAAGTTTAAGGAAGTAACTGATGAGGAGGGGTACTTGTGTTCCCAGAGGAAGTGGAGCAGGGGTGGGGGGTGTAAGTGCAGTTTGAAGAGTGGTTTTTGCCCTCTTTAGAAGAACAATCTTGGTGCTATCACTTCAGTGTTTCAGTTCCTCTGTGGAGAGAAAAACTGCCAACAAGGAGGTGAAGGAAGACACCACAGCAGATTCCGGCAGGTACTGGGTTGGCAGTGGTGACTGCTGCTCTGAACCTTACCTTATGTCCCCGATGATGGGATGCTTGGCTTTCTGCTGCCCAAGGAGCTCCATCAGGAAGCTGCCCACATTGGCAGCGTGAGCCTGCAGCTGCTCCTTCTCCAGGACATCCAAGACAGCCAGGCCCACAGCACAGGACACCGGGTTGCCCCCAAACTAAGCCAGGGGACAAAGGGCATGTCAGGTGCCCAGCAGAGGATCCCCAGGGTGGGTGTAGGCAGCAAATGCCCTACACATTCCAATGACAGTGGTAAAAGCATCAACCTATAGCCTTCTAGGCTCAGTGCTCAGCTGTAAATGGAGTTCTCATGAGGTCCCATGGGCTGTCCTGCTTTTACAGGTGCTTATGTGACTAGTCCAGATTAGGAATTCCAGGGGCCACAAGGAGATGCAGAGCTGGAGGGGAGAGGATGTGCCCATCTAAACCCTCCCAAGAGGGTTTAGGGCTGGGCACAGACATAGCATTAGATGTTTCTACCACCACCTCAAGGAGGGTCAAGCAAAGCACCTCCAGGAAAAGTCACTGATTCACACAGTTCATGGCTCTCAACCTCTGAGCCTGTGGCATGTTTTAGGGCACAGACCACAGGCTGGCTGCTGTGCGTCCCATGTAGCCTTGTGGATTTATTTTGCTTAGCTTGTGTGGCATGTTAAGAGATTTTTTTTTTTTTTTAATGTTTTAAAATGGCAGGCTTGTTAGGAAAAGGGGAAAGGAAAGACTACTGCCTAGTCACAGGTGGGCAGGGAGGAGAGCTACCCATCACAGGTTTTGGATTAGGTGCTAACATTTTAAAATAAAAAACTTCATACCAGAACATTTCTTACAAACCCAGCCTATCTGGCCACACGGGCATGGACTGCACAGGAGACACTGAGTGCTCTGACTCACTCGCCCTCACCTGGCCCTGCTCGTAGACCTTTTTTTAAAGACTTTTAAAAAAAAAATCAATTTTACTGAGGTATAACTAACACAATCAGCTGCACATTTAAAAAGTGTCACTTAGTTTGACAAATGGAACCTCCACCACAATTTAGATACAAAATATTTCTGTCACTCCCCAGAGTTACCTGTGCCCACTCTACTACTCGTCCAGGCAGCCATGGACCTGCTTTCTGTCACTATAATTTTGCTTCTTCCAGAATGTCATATAAATGGAATCAGAATATGGGCCTTTTTGTGCCTGGCTTCTGCTCAGTATGTTTTAAAAATTTTATCAATATTGTGTATTTCAGTAGTTATATTACTGCATAGTATTCCATTGTATGGGCATGCCACAAAATCATCCAATCTCCTGTTGATGGAACCTTGGGTTACTTTGATTTTTGGCTATGATGAATAAAACACTTATGAACATTTATTGACAAGTCTTTTTGTAACTATACACTCAGATTCTCCTTTGGTGTGGAATTACTAGGTTATATGATAAATGTATGGTTAACTTTGCGAAACTGCTTTCCAAAGGGGTAGTGACATTACATTCCCACCATTAGATTAAAAAATTCCAATTGAGGGCCCTCCCTGGTAATGCAGCAGGTTAAAGCACAGCACTAAGAAGCTAAAGCCACTTTGGCATGAGTTTGAACCCTGGCCTGGAGATGACCCATGTGGTGCGGCAGAGCTCTCCTGACCAGCCTGCTGCTCCCCTCAGCAGTGTACTAAATCAATCAGCCTGTTCTGCTCCTCACTCTGTCTTTGGTGAATCTACTCACTGCCCCTGCACCTCTGCCTGTACCCCAGTTCTGTATGCATAAATCTTTTAAAAAATTCCAATACTTCCACAGCCTCAAAAACACTCGGAATTGTGTTTTACTAATCGCAGTCTAAAGGGTGAGTAGTGGCATCCTGTAGACTATCTTGAAAATTTTATACTGCAGATCATGCAACACTTCCTGGGTGTTTCTACTATAAGACAGCTTTCTGATATGCCCAAAACAAATTATGTGTGTGATAGATACAGGCTGGATTGAGGCTACTTGTTCACTACCAGTACCTGAACTTAAAATGTGTCTACTTACTAATAGCATCTTTGGTTTAGAATCATGACCTAGTCAAGATGCCAAACAAGCACATAAAAAGGTCTTGCCCTCAAGATGACCCCAGAGAAAAGAAAAAAAAAAAGAGTAAGAAGCAATAGAAAGAAAAGCATTATCATCCTGGGAATCTAGAAAGCCGTGCATATACACAGGGCTATGCTCATGCCCAGTGTTCTGTGCAAGTTTAGGTGCAAGTTTAGGAAAGACCCAAAAAGCTGAGCTCTCCCCATTGTCCACCTTGAGGCTCTGAAGGAGGACCTAGGGGCTAAGATGGAGGTGTAAACCCTTTGAGAGTTGAAGGCATGTCCCAATGTGCATACAGAATTCCTTATTAAAGGCTGAGAGATTTCTCAGTTCCAGACAGTTGAGATTTCTGCCTAATCGGATGATTACTAAACTAACCAGCCACGTGCTAACAGTGGCATGTGACAAGGAGCACAAGACCACAGAACTAGTTCAGAAAAAACTTCAAATAGGCAACAACAGGACCCTCCCTGGTGGTAAAATGGTTTAGGGCACAGCACTGCAAGCTGGACCTCTCCTGTCTTTTGCCCGCTGCTCCCCTCAGCAGTGTACCTCATTTATCTGCCTGCTCTGCTTCCCACTCTCCGGTGGGTCCTCTCACCACCTCAGCACCTCTGGCATGTACCACAGTTTTGTTTGCATAAATAAGTCGTAAAAAAATAAGCAGCAACAGAAATCAACAATAATAAATTATGAGGAGGGCATATGATTTCTAAAGTTGCCACATTATTAACAGGTTTTATTTATTTTTGTGTAGAACAACTTGGGTATAAGCCACAGGTGCAGGGGGTGAGAGGATTCACCAGATACACAGTGGGGAGCACAACGGGTAGATCCATTGAAGTACACTGCTGAGGGGAACAGCGTGTGAGACATGAGAGGTCTGCTGCGACGTGTGGGTCTGCTCCCTGGCTGGGTATTGAACTCAGGCAGTAGTGGTTGTAACAGTGAGACCTAACCCCTAGGCCACCAAGGAGGCTCATTATATTATTTAAATTTCCAGTTTTTAATAAAAAATTATGCAAGGTACAGAGAATAGACCATGTACAGGGGTGGAATGTGGGAAAAGCAATCCCCAAGGAATACCTTCTAAAATCCTTATACAAGATTTAAATCAGATGTTATAGGGCCCTCCCTGGTGGGGCAAGGGATTAAAGCACAGCATTACAAACCTATCCACAGCTGCTTCACAGATTTGATCCCCAGCCAGGGAGCTGACCCACATGGCACAGCAGACCTCTCCTGTTTTGTCCGCTGTTCCTCTCAGCAGTGTACTTTAGTGGATCTGACTGTTCTGCTCCCCACACACTCACTGGCAAATGCCCTCACCCACTGCACGTGTGGCTTACACTTCAGTTCTTCCATGCAAAAATAAGTAAAATCTTAAAAAAAAAAATTAATCTAGAATGTGCAGCTGAAGCAAGATCAACCGATCAATAGAACAAAATATATTTATGATCAATTGATTCTTTCAATTGATTCTTGACAAGTGTGCCAAGACCATTCAATAGGAAAACAGATTTTCAGCAACTGGTATTGGGACAAAAGGGTAGCTATGTGTGAGAGTCCAGTTACCTAGCCCTACTTCATACCTAACACAAAAAGGGTCAAAATGGATCAAAGACCTTAATGTAAGAGCTAAGACTACAATCTTAGAAGAAAACAAAGATGTAAATCTTCATGATGGTTGATCAGGCAATGGTTAGATATGATTCCGAAGCACAAATAACCAAAGAAAAATAAACTGAACTTCATCAACATTAAAAATTTTTGTGCTTCCAAAGATATACAAAGAACTGGTGAAACTCAACAAAAATAACTATCAACAAAAATAACTTTTAATAACTCCATCAAAAAATGGGCAGAAGAACTAAAAAGACACTTCTCCAAAGAGGAAATGCAGATGGCCAACAAGCATGAAAAAATGTTCAACATGATTTGTAATAAGGGAGATGCACACCAGTGAGAATGGCATATCTTAAAACAACTAGCAACAACAAATGGTGAGGATGTGGAGAAAAAGGAACTCTCCTGCACTGCTGGTGGGAATGCAAACTAGTACAACCACTATG